CCTGGCTAAATGCAGCTTGCAATACCTATGCTACCGTTGAAATACCGGATCACCTTGAAGCTTCCTCAGCTAGGTTATTCTCTCACCTTTAAACTCAGTGTCTCAGGGAATGGAGGAAATGGAGACAAGTTCTTAGCAGGGATGCAATCGGAACAACCTGTAGCTCAGTTCCTGAGAGACCTTGTTCCTGTCCCAATTCATGGGGGCGGTCTTTACCATACATGGTCCCCGAGCATCCTGCTCTCCAGAGCTTGCGTCAGAATCGCCCACTAAGCTCTGCTTACAGCAAGCTCTGTCTGGTTGGCTTTTCTAGATGCTTCCTGTGAACCAGTCCCAACGGCATCTGAACTATGCGATCGGCTTTGCTGTGGTGATCAGTCCTCCTCATTAATGTCTTTTTGTGGTAGCTAAACTGTAGTGAGAAATACCTGAGAAAAACTCCTTGACGGGAACGATTTTGGCTCACACTTTCAGTTTGTCAGTCACAGTTCCGACGGCTCCACGGTCTGTGGACCTGACGTGAGTAGATCGTCGTGGTGGGAAAGCTTGGAGGAACCACTCACCTCATGCCAGGAGCAGCATGCAGGCTTGTCTGCGCTGGCGGGATTCTTCCTCTATCCATATTTGTTCCATCTGCGTCCTGCAGACGGACGGTGCTGTCCACATTCACATGGTCTTCCCCTCAGTTCCTGTACCTCACTACTCCCCAGGTGTCCCTCAATCCAATCAAGTTGGCAATCAGAGTTAACTATCACATGCACGAGATATTTATTAGATAAGTTTATACATTTTGATAATGGAAGCACTTTTTCTCATTTTTTGGCTCAATTTGTGGATGAAGAAATCAGATATGGAAGGCTAGCTCCAAAATCAAACTATAAAATATACATGTGCCCTAACTTATACACCCAAAGGAAGCTCAACTGCACCACAAGGACACATGCTCAACTATGTTCACAGCAGTTTTATTTGTAATAGCCAGAACCTGGAAAGAACCTAGATGCCCTTCAACAGAATGGATAAAGAAAATGTGGTACATTTACACAATGGAGTATCACTCAGCCATTAAAAACAATGACATCAGGAAATTTGAAGGCAAATAGAAGGAACTAGAAAAAAAATCACCGAGTGAGCAAACCCAGACCCAGAAAGACAAACATGGCGTGTACTCACTCATAAGCAGATATTAACTGTAAAGTGAAGGATAACCATGCTACAACCCACAGACTCAGAGAGGGTACGGTAACAATGGGGGGCCCCGAGGCAGGATGCATGGATCTCCCTGGGAAGGGGAAAGAGAGCAGATCTCCTGGGTGGACTGGAGGCAGGTGGGCATGAGGACTTGAGGGGCTGGGTTACAGGGTGAATGGAGGGGAACAGTGCTGAAAGAAATGACTGGAAGGTCATTTCCTTAGTAAAAGGCCATTTCTTCGTGAAGCCTGATGCAACTTCCACAAGTCTACAAGGATGGCCCCAGCTAAGATTCCCAGCAGCAATGGACGCATAGCCTGACCATCCCGTGATCAGATTGGTGACTACCCAGCTTGTCAGCAGAGAACCTACATCTGTGACTGATGGGAGCAGATTCAGAGACCCACAGCTAAACATTGGGCTGAGCTGGGGAGTCCTGCTAAGGAGAGGGAGGAGGGATTGTAGGAAACAGGGGGGAGGGGTCAGGAACATCACAGGAAAACCCATAGAAACCTTTACCCTGGCTCATGGGAACTCAGAGTCTGAGCCAACAACCAGGGAGCCTGCATGGGACGAACCTAGGCCCTCTGTATATATGTGACAGTTGTGTAGCTTAGTCTATACGTGGGACTCCCAGCAAGGGGAGCAGGGACTATCCCTGGTGCTTTGACTGGCTCTAGGGAACCTGATCCTCATGCTGGATTGCCTTGCCCAGCCTGAATACAGGGGAAGGTACTTGGTCTTATGGCAGCTTGACAAGCCATGCTTTGCTGATGCCCATGGGAGGCCTGTTGCTTTCTGAGCAATTATGGAGGAGGGGTGGATTGAGGGGGATTGCAGAGAGGAAGGGAATGAGAGGAGAGGAGGGAGAGGAGGCTGTGGTCTTAATGTAAAATAAATAAATTAATTTTAAAAAGTAACTAACCAGCTAAAACAAAAGCCACACTGGCCATGTGTGTTTACAGCCCTATTCCCTGAGGCATTTCTTCTCTCTGCCCTCATAGGCAACAAAGAGCTGGCCTGTGCTTAACACGATGCTGTGATCTTAAAAAGTTAAGAGGGCAGAGCTCCTGTGAAGTATTCTTACCCTAAAAAATAAACACACAAACAGGTTGAAGACACAGCTTACCGACAGAGTACTTGCCCAGCATGTACCAGGCCCAATGCCACCTCCAGCACCAAAAGAAAAAAAAAATGATGCAAAGGGACTTTTGGAAACCTTGGGCAGATTAGGTTTATTACCTGATAGTGGTGATGGCATCACACATCTGACTCAGACTATATACATTACATGTGTGTGGACTTTCGGTATATGAGTTGAACTTCTAGACCACTCTGTAGCTACTAATTTTTTAGCTCTACAACAGCCTTCGGTGTTGATGATCACATTTGCATAAATGATTCCCTACTAAGGAAATCAACTAATTGTTTTTGACAAAGCCTGTGTAAGTTAGTCTAGCCTCAAACTCACTGTCTCCCAGCTTCTGCCTCTTAGTTATGGAGATTACAGGCATGAGCCATCACCTCTGGCGGAAGTCAGTGTCTCTATGTTTAGGAGACGTCACGTGAGTAAACCATTACTCACTGTGGTTATTTTTTGGTTACTTGTAAGTTCTCTTTCAGCATGGCCTGGCTACTCTCGGCAGCTGCTTTCCATGCAGAAACCTGTGTACACTCACTTACGTACACTACTAAATTCCCAGGTAGCTCGTAACCCTAACAAGGACCTAACTAGATTTTTAATTCTACAGTTACTTCAGAAACAATCTTCTCAAAGGGGAACTAAGAAGTTATTGTTCCATGGGTAACAGTTTCTCTTTGGAAGGATGACAAGGATGTGTAGATAGATGACAGGGATGGTTGTGTGAATGTCCCATCACTGACCTGTACAGGAGAATGGTCAAAATGGCAAAATTTGTCATGTACTCTTTCCCATCAATTAAAAAAAATATATACTGCTGTGGGATGGTCTTTCTGTATGCTGTGAATATATGTTGCTACTATTGGTTAATAAAGAAGCTGTTTTGGTCTATGGTAGGGCAGGATAAGCGCCAGGTGGGAAATCCAAGAGAGATACAGGGAGAAGGAAGGCAGAGTTGGAGGAGACGCCAACCTGCCGCCCAAGGATCAACAATATGCCAGCAGACCGGTAACGCCACGGCCACGTGGCAATACATAGATTAATAGAAATGGATTAACTTAAGATGTAAGAGCTAGCTAGCAAGAAGCCTGAGCCTTAGACCAAACAGTTTGTAATTAATATAAACCTCTGTGTATTTACTTGGGACCAAGTGGCTGCGGGACACAGGAAAACTTCTGGCTATAATGTATAATCTATGTAAAATAACTCTAAAAATCTACTGGTAACCAGCTATAGTTTTTCCAAACTACTACTTTAATTTATAATTTAAAAAATCGCTATATTCTATGTGTGTGTGTGTGGCACATGTGTCACCATATGTGGTGGAGGTGGGAACTTTGTGGAGCTGGCTCTCTTTTTACCTTTCTATGGGTTCTGAGGAACTGAGCTCAGACGGGCAGACTTACAGGTCAGCACCAGCACCCCGTGTGCCTCTCAGCAGTCCTAAGGTATTGTCTGACACGGACATTCACATTTTCTATGAACTCGATGAAACATCCCACCAGCCAACAGGACTCTTCTTGCTCCACTGTCCCTTGCCCCTCTGTTTACTCAGTGAAGGTGACTGACTCCCTTTCCACACTTGCAAGCCTCTGGCTTTTCCTCGGCTGTCTTCCGGTGTCCATCTTTAGCATGTCCATCAGAGAGAAGGCTCTTTCTCTACTGCTGTACAGTAAGTGAGGGCTGGCCACCTTCCAAACTTAATCTATCTTCCAAGGACTCTTTCTAGACTTTTATTTATCTTACCATGTGACGACTTGAATTTTATGACTCCTAAACGAGGTGTTTATGACCAGTAAATCCAACTCCACGACAAAGCTTTAAACCCAGCTGTGATGATGTCTGAGTTGAGGCTCATAACACAGGGCGAGGATGTCAGCGACTCCGGGCATCTCCATGCCCTCTGCCATCAGACCCAACGTATTCCTTGCTTACTGGTGTTCAAGGGCTGCCACACCACAGCTGTCTTTCCTTAAATGGCATGGAAAAGACAGTCTCCCTGACCTTCAAGTAAACAGCCCACTCTTGAAACCCGTGTAGAAAGTTCCTTCTCTTGCGGCAACTACACAGCACTGACAATGAACCGACCCACCCTCTGGGCCACTGGGCCGGCCAGAGGCACGGCCAGCACCCTGCCATGTGACCCATCCTATGACCCTGCCCAGTGCTCGTGGCCATGTGGGGCACGAGGGTGGGCTGTTCCAGCGCAGTTGCCTGAGCATCTCTGGGAGAGGCGGCTGGTGAGTGTATACCGGAGTGCTCACCTCAGAAGCAAGTCGGGGAGATGATAAAGCTTTGTCATAACTGAAGAGAGGAACCCAGACTCAAGTGCCTCCCGTTAGCACTCACCAAGTCCTCTGCTCCTAAACTCCTAGCTCCACCTTTTGAAATTTGTATCATGGAAACTTCCAGAGAAGTGGTGTTCAGATTTCCATACACTCAACCACAGCTTCAACAGCTACCAACACTCCATCCGCCTTATTGTGTCCATCCACTGTCTTCTTTTATTTTAGAGAAAGTTTTGATAATGTTATTTTTTACCTCTAAACACCCTTCCCTTTTTTAGGATTACCAAACAACAAATATCCAGTGTTTATTACCAGAAAGTCAGCAATGTTACTTTTAATACAGTTGGGGTACAGGATATTTAATTACAGCAGGGCAGTGATTCCAGTTAAATTAAAATCCTTTATTTTTCCAAATATAAAATTACTGAATTAAAGTCTTCAAAGAAAATATAACATGGTGAAAATCTTAAGTTATCCCAACTCACCACAGGATTCAGGGTTAACCAATCACATACTCCACCATTTTGGCAAAAGGATGAAAATTCTTTTTAACAGTTTATAAACCTAATATGTAGCAAAGACTGTATACATCTCCATATTGCACGTCTTATGTACAAGAATAAACAGTTACGTCCAATGTGTTTGCCCCCACGGAGAACAGCACAAACGGCTCAGCGAGAACACGCGGAAGTGGGTGTATTAAAAACGTAGAAATGTGAGGGCATGTGCACAGCAGAAGGCCGCCGCACTAACAAACGGTATGTGCGCCGGGCTTCAGTGTGGAGTTTGTTAGGGCAGCCTCTGGTTCTACGCGGCCCGACCAGGCTGAGGCTCACAGACAGCTTCTCAAGCTCTCGCGTTTGCAACACAAGGCTTGAATACAAAGGCTCCACGTCTCCTCGTTCACTAGTACAAAAGTTACAATAGTCAATCCCCTTCAGTCATCAAAAACTAGACACAAAAATAGCTCTTGTACTCAACCCGAATGTGCCACAGGAAAAAAATATTTTCAAGATTTTTTCCAGCTTGGTCCCCAGCCTCAGTTTCAGTGCTTGTTGCGTCTGCTAAAAATGTCCTCCGACAGTTTCCTTTTTCCTTTAGGTCAGTTAATACTATGCTGTAAAAAGAATAAAACTGAACTACAGCTTAAGAGTGTCCACCACAAACTCCTGTTAAGACATGAGGAAAACTAAATATTGCCAGTGAGATTTAAAAAATATGTGCACCTTCCCCCAACTCCTATAAATCTGCTACTAAATATCACAGTCCAGGCTCCCTCTCGATCCGGTTCCCCATGGCTTCTTCCTGTGCTTGGCCACACCAGTGATTAGCTCTGGAAGTCATCCTGAGTTCGCACATGACAAAGCATGTCCCTACACGTGGTTCATGAGGTAAAATCACACAACCGAGGACGAGCTGGTCAACCCTTGAACCACTGTGCTCGTGGGCGTCCCACTGATGGCGTTGAAGATGTGCAGAGAGTTTGGTAGGACGCTTGTCTTCTCCTCCAGGGGGCAAATCTTGAGGCACAGAAAGACAAGATAATCAAAGTGCAAAGCTCCGGCAGCCAGCCACTCAGCGCTGAGGTGACATACACGGCTCACATCCAGCTGCCATTCTGCATGATGATGCACACAGCCAGGCCTGGGCTTTGCCAGTTTGCATAGATGGTTTTAGCTTATCTAATAAATGGCCACCTTCACACTGGGATTGTAAGGAGAACGACAGAAAGAATGTGCTTTGTTTCCTTTACAAGTTAAGGAATGGGAGCCTTCTAGACTCGCCAGATCTTAGGTAACTTGTGGTCTACCTTCCAGCTCCATTGAGACATGAACTACACATGAACCCTTGGAAAAAAAACCTCTGTAAGTGAATTTGGATTATCTGCGTTTCTTTCTGGCCTCCTTTTCTCAGGTCTTACAGACTTAAGTGCCTCTTCATGGCAAATAAGAATAGAAAAGGATCTGGGTGTATGATTTCTCTCTAGCTTCGTGGAGGCTCAGAAGACCCATGCAGAGGATCCTCTGGAACACCAAAGCCACCATGCCAGGTCACAGTTCTTTCTATGCATGGGCTCAAAAGGGTTTAATCTTCACAGATGCTGAGACAATGGGAAAATTAAGGGGCAGTGCATAGCAAACCACTGCAGTTACTATGTGCTCGATCTAGGGGCTTAATCGATCCAGCCCATAATTCTCTCTACTTCTGTCCTTCCTCGTCCTGAGTGCTGGCGCCCATCCACCAGGGATCTGGAGGTTCCAAGGAAAAGATCACAAGTTTTCTCCAATTGTTTGTTCCCATGAGCCCCCTCTCCTTGTGCTTAATTATTCACACATTGATAATTTAATTGTTTCACTTTCCCCCCTACTTTTAAAAATGTTTGGAAGAGCCGGGCGTTGGTGGCGCACGCCTTTAATCCCAGCACTCGGGAGGCAGAGCCAGGCGGATCTCTGTGAGTTCGAGGCCAGCCTGGGCTACCAAGTG